TTAATATTTGTTGTTGATTGTACTTTCCCTTAAACCTTTTAGGGAAATTGCTGTTTTTTTCTTTTAATAAAATCCTCTTTTTGACTTTTGACAAAACTTTATTTACACAATTCAAACAATAGAATCAATCATTGATGTAAAACAAATGTCAGTTAAAAATCATTAAATGAGGAGCTTGTTAAAATGTAGTTCTCCAAAATCTGACACAGTACATACAATTTTGTTCAACCCCACAATTGAATAAAAGCCTCCTTATTCCGTGTTAGGGGTGTAAATAATAATCGTTTTGTATCAATCCATCGATCCGATGCATCGACACATCCGCAAGAGTATCGATTCAGGTTTTTTTTTTCCCCCCGGCCAATTTTAACCCGTTGCCCCCGGGGGGAAATCCGAACCCCCGGCCGCCGGGGCCCCAAAAAAAATTTGCCCCCCCAACCCACCTCCCGGGTAAAACCCCGCAACAAGGGGGCCCAAGGAACCTGAAAAAAAAAATTTTGAATTAAGCCCAAAAATGAAACGTGGTCTGCGCTATACGCTGTGGGTCTAGATTAGGCCGAGGCGGTGAGGAAGTGGGGGCGAGTTTGTTCGACAACAGAGGGGAAAAAAAAAGAGCGGGGATCCAGGTGGAAAAAGGGTCCCAGCGTTCTCACGGAACTCGCTCTCCCAGCGGGTCCGTCTTCATGAGTTGTTTTCCGCAATTGCAGTCATAAAAACAAAACAAGCTGGCCTCCTGTCAGCTACTTGGGAGGGGTGCAGCAGAGTGTCTGCGAAGGGGGTGGGGAAGTCTACACTCTGGAGCCGAGATATTGCATTGCACTCATTGCACTGATTTTGTGCAGCACTTTTCTTATGCAAGGCCTTTCAGAATCTATAACGCAAGGCCATTATAATTTCAATTGAATGAGGTTTTAATAGGCCTAGGTGGAGTAGAACTTTTCTACTTCTGTTATTTGCGGTTGTTTCTCAAAAAAAAAATGCATAACGATATTACAGCTTTCATTGATGTACTTCAAATTTGAAACATCGTTCTGCCTGTAAGGTAAAAAAACAAAACAAAAAATGAACCAGTTAATCGAATCGTATCGTGGTGTATTCTTGAGTATCAAAATAATCGAATAGTTGGGTCAGGAAATCGATACCGAATCGAATCGCCATGATGAGTGTGATTTACACCCCTATTCTGTGTGGCTCTGTGGAAGTGAAACTCCAGCCTTATTCTGGCTTCAACGTTGCATTTCCTCAGAGCCACGGCATCAAGGTGAGGTCCGTCCTGCAGTCTGTCTTTGCGGGACAGCTGAATGGTCATCTTTGCTTCACTGCTTAAAAAATTTAAAAGTCAGGTATTTGGCTTGTTTCTTCTGTTCTGTCTAACTCCCCCTATAAATAATGAAATAAAATGTAGCTTAAGTGAGCTTAAATAGTGATTTATGAGGCATATTCTAAATCATGAACCTATAAAAAGAATAAGCTTTTCTGATTCTGTTTTAGTGTATTTCTTATTTTTTTTGTTTTGGAAGAGAACTTTTATATTCCTGTAAATACTTGATGAATTGATATATATTTTGTAAAAAAAAAAAAAAACATTTTAAAAGCTAAATGGAAGGTACAAATACAATAAAAGGATGCTATTTAAAAGTCTGACTAGGTATTTTCAATTTTATTTAGTTTATTTAGATAGCGCCTATTCATAAGTTTTTCATCTGAGGAAAAACCAGATGATTGCATCGACTCATTGACTCGATTGCAATCTCTCATTTTCAGTTTTGTTTGTTATTTTTATGCTTCTTGAAGGCATTTCCATACTTTTTATGTCATATTAATTAATCAAAAAATAAACTAACTTGTAACAACCATAAAAAACAAAGCAACAGATAAAATTAAAAGGCTATAAAAATAAAAACACTAAAATGAACAAGGTAAAGCAGAAGGCTTTGTTTTAAATTGAACTTTAAGGTTTTATTTATCCTTTTTTTACTTGTGGTATTAAGCTTTAACATTCATATTTTCTTATACATATAAGTATAGTAAGCAAACCTAAACTATAATTTGAACTGACTAAATTAACTTGATATAAATTGATTAATTCAAAATATAAAAAATAAAATAAGTAACATAAATTAAGAGATTAAAAAATGAAGTGTTTAAAACATTTTAGATCCAATTGAAATATTTTCTATTCCAACTTGTTGAGTCATTTCAGCTTTTTGTGTTTTCTATTACCTTTCCACATTTCATCCTCATTTCTAATCAATTACTGTAACTACGCTCACCTATGCTAGTCTAATTATCTCCACCTGCGCTCTCCAGGATATAAGCTCATTCAAGCCTCTGATTAGTTGCCAGATTATCTAAGCCTTTATGTAGATGGAATCAAACCTTTTGAAACCAAGTCAGGCCGCGCTGATAATAACCCTCATTTCTGCCCTCGGGGCCCCTGCTCTCTGCCTGCCCCAGCCTGATATTTCCTCAGTTTTTGCTTTAATGGTTTCGACCCTTGCCTGCTTTCTGACTCCTCTTAGTCCGATAGATTTGTGTTCATTACCTAATTCTGAATCATAAAAGCCAGGAACTGGATCAATGCATGGGTCTTCTGATCTTTAACTGTCTCTGAGGGCCTTCAACAGACACACATATGGTTTTTTCTATCCAGTGTCCTGAGATGCCAATTTCCTGATTCTTAAATTAAGACTTAACTATTAATTTTGTGTGTTCACTGCGTCTGTTGGGCCCAAAAGAATATCCATGCTGATAAAGAGGATAATAAATAAAATACAGTCACTCCAGACTTCCAACCAACCATCACATACACTGAGAGCATTAGCTCATGCAGCATCTTCTGTTGATTTTCATCAATGGTGTTTTCCCTTGTTCCTGGGAACTCGAAATCTCAAGCCATAAATTTTAGGGATGCACGATATTGGGATTTTGGCCGAGATCCGATATGCCGATATTTTAAAACTCATGTAGCCGATAACCGATA